TGGTATGCTCCTTCATTCCTTTCTTCGAAGCTTCGTATCGTACGTATACTTCAGATACAGTACGTACGTATCCTTTCCAGTACGTACATATCCATTGCAATACGGGCCATGCTGATATGGGTAGCTGTGGTAGCTGCTAACTAATTGCCCCCCCCTAAGATCTTAGAAAACTGCCATWATAATATGTTTCTGTCATTGTCAAGAATCACCTGCATCATATGTCTGTTTATAATGGAAATTGCCTTACGCTTGATGATGCAAGTAATTCTGCTCAACCAACTTGTTAGCAGAAGTTTTGCTCTACAGGCATGGTAGATAGCAGTAGGAATCAACACAATGTACACCTATGTACGATTGTACATGATTTTGCAAAATTAGTAGTTGCATTTTAGCTATCCCTGCAATCCCCACTAGAGCTACTAAGTACAATTCCAGTGCTGGCAAGTTTAAGGCAATTTCCCGTACGTCATTTTATTTTATTTTCCCGTCTTTATTTCTTCCCCTTTCCCCCCCTCCACACAAAACACTTTTYAAGTCCCAAAATATTTCTATTAGTGATCCTTACTACTGCGGATACAAAATCAGAGCTTATCCCCAGTATTAAGGACCACTAATAGAAATATTTTGGGACTAATTTCCCGAGTGTCAATTTTTTTATTTTCCCGTCTTTATTTCCCCTCTCCCCACCTCCACAGAAAAAAACTAGTCCCAAAATATTTCTATTAGTGATCCTTACTACTGTGGATACAAAATCAGTGCTTATCCCGAGTATTAAGGACCACTAATAGAAATATTTTGGGACTATCGTTTTTCTGTGGAGGTGGGGAGAGGGGAAATAAAGACGGGAAAATAAAAAAATTGACACTCACTTTTTAAGTCCCAAAATATTTCTATTAGTGATCCTTACTACTGTGGATACAAAATCAGTGCTTATCCCCAGTATTAAGGACCACTAATAGAAATATTTTGGGACTAGCGAGAAATTAAACAATGGAAATATTTTTATTTTTGTCGGTTGGATGCCTTTTTTAACTGATTTTAACTGTAAAAATGAGCTAAAAATTTCTATTAGTATTTGTATGGGAAATGCCAATAACTTGCCAGCACGGGAATTGTACTTAGTAACTCAAATCCCCACGGTACAAATAAATTTTTCATTATTCTTGTTCTGATATGGTACTATAATACCATACTGTACGTACTGTACTGAATTACTACATGTAAAATAACAATTGAACTTTCGTTGATTGAGGCATTGGGAACGTTAATTTAACATTCCGAATGTTAATTTAACGTTCGGAATGTTAAATTTATC